GGAGGTTCAGTTAACATTTGCTGAAGTGATAAGCTGGAGGAGGCTCAGTTAACATCAGCTGTAGTGATAAGCTGGAGGAGGCTCAGTTAACATCAGCTGTAGTGATAAGCTGGAGGAGGCTCAGTCAATGTCTGCTGGGGGAGAGGGGTAACCATGTGCCGTAGCGCTACAGAAGCCCCAACGTCAATGTCTGAAATGGTTACCTTCATTATTATCTCAGGAGGAATACAGTGAGTCAGAAGCTCGTAGAGTCTTCCGCGAACTTCCAGGAGCCTACACAGAAACAGAAGGATTGATATTTCGTGATGAAAGTAAGAGGAAACTTTCCCAAGTACCTACTGTGCTGTTTTACTTTATGAATGAACGAACAGTCCAAATACGTTTTCGTAAGCAGCTTATTATTCTTCCGATACACATAGAGAAGCTTGGCCTAACTTCAGCTCAGTTTTTAGAGGAAAATCTTCAGAACTCTTTTAAAGTGAGGCAACATTTATATTCAGGATTGTTAACTGTATCAAAACACCATCAAAGTACCAGACAGAATTAAGACTTCATGAATAGCAGGGGTTGAGCTTAGTCACGCCATGGATTTTAAGATACTCAGTGACATTTCCAGTAGTGTGTTTATTTTTCCCCTCCAGACAGACAATATCTAGGACGTAGAAAATGGCGGTGAAAAGAGGAACCAGTCCCCAGTCAATGACCAAGAGTGACAAGAGAACCCAGCTGACACTGAATTGCACACACAGAAATTGTTGAATCAGTGTATGTTCTGCTGTGTATATTCGCAACAACCACAAAAATAAAATAGATTATTTTTAAAAAAAGAGAGAACACAGGCGTGAAATACAATATACTGCTACCCCCTAGACTGCTGAGTAAGAATTCAACATGGGGAAACAGCCGTCCCGCCACACAGTGGGGCGGGCCACGAGGTTACAGCTAAGCAGCCACCACACTGTCTAGGTGACCAGGAATGTTAAAACCTCTAAGCCCTTAACCCTACACCCTTCTCAGAACATTCGCAGGGCGGGAAAAGAGAGAAGGGGCTGTACAAATGACCTTACAAAACAGCAAAATATAAGTGACAATTTAAAATTCCAAATACACAGAAAACTTGCTTCTGTATTTCTTTATATATCTTATGTGTCGTCGAATCAATTCCGACTCCTAGTGACCCTGTAGCACAGAGGAGACCTGCCTCCTGGGGTTCCCGAGGCCATGGTCTTTACGGAAGGAGGCTGCCACGTCTTCCTCCTGAGGAGCGGCTGGGGGTTTGGAACACCGACCTTCAGGTTGGCAGCAGAGTGCTCAACTACTGCGCCACCAGGGCTCCATTCAAGTGACTGAGAGCAGATTGTCAGAGAGACGTGGGTATTCCTCAACGTCTCTGGCACTTACTAACTGAATGTCCCCCAACAAGCTACTTAATCTAAATCTCACTTATCTACAAAACAGTGATGGTAACAATACCTTCCTCTTAGGACTGCTATATGTACTAACTGAAATAATGCAGTCAAGAGCTGACACTAAAATTAGCTGTTATTCCAATTAGGAAATACTGCTCCAGGACCCAGCCAACAATGACACCGTAGACACCACAGGAAGACCCGGGCCCACCACAGGCCCCTGGCAGCACATGAGCCAGCGACCAGAAGGCCGGCCCTCTCCTTATCTCAGGTCAGACCACAGCTGTCTGGAATTGAGAGATTTTTTGGTTACACAGCACAATGGAATCAATTCCCACAAGTGTCCGCCTGACTGAACAGGAAACGGCAGCATCTCTCTTTGTAGAAGTTCATTTACGAGAGGCTGACACCTGGCAGGAATCCTAGAGGCCAGGGTAGCAATAGCTGGAAGAATTAAGCAAAGCAATAAGGAACACGAGATTTCAAAATGCATCTGACAACTGTCAAACACTAACATCTATACCTGAATTCCTTAAAAGTAGGAAAGTTCTAATATTACCAACGTTTCTCCTTTACAAACAGAAGGAAAACAAGAAACAAACTTATCCTGAAAAGACTCTAGGTGTCATTTTTAATTTTTTATAAATGGCTCCTAAAACACACTTTAGTTGAAATTTTATCCATTTAAAGGCTGAAATTCCATCACTGCTTATCAACATTTTACAAAATAGAACGTGCACACGTTTTTCTAAAATACAAGATCTCTTTTCTTATCAGACCACTTAAAATGTTTAGCTTTTTTTGAAAACTATTAATTCCTCAACTAAATTATAGGAATTCAAAGCAAACCCTAATAGTAAGCCCAAATCCATTGCCGCCGAGTTGATTCCGACTCACAGCGACCCTGCAGGACAGAGCAGACCTGGCCCGCAGGGTTTCCGAGGCTGTCATCTTCACAGAAGGGGACTGCCACGTCTGTCTCCCACACAGTGGCTGGTGAGTTGGAACCACCGACCTTTCGATTAGCAGTCAAGAGCTTTAACCACTGTGCCACCAGGACTGCTCAATTAAGTACTACGTGCCCTCCGTGTATGACTGTCTACCCTACTGATCAGTAGTCAAAAAGCACATTTTATAATCCCTTTGAAGAATTCCTTATAAAAACGAAAACTCACATTTCCCTCCCAAGAAGAGAAACCTGGTCCGTTCCTCTCATCGTTTTTGTCATTTAAACCGAGTAAGCTAACATCCCAGTGGTCCCCATGGGGTACTCTGAACCCTAAGACGGCCAGCCACCCTCTCTGGAGTCTACAGATGGCCCCTCGGTCCTGCCTGGCGACGAGGGTCAGAGAGTACGCCCCAGTGAGGCTGCACACGGGCCGTGGGCCTGAGACCGCCTCTCGGGACTAGAGAAGTGTGTACTCCCCTTCTCCATCAAAGCTGCCTAATCAAACAGAAATCAAACCCACTTCCAACAGACGCAAACGGAAACGACCTGGCAGCAAACGTGCCAGAAAATACCCCTATGCACCAGCGGTATGTACACAATGGTCTTCTCACTACGTGCACAGGGCTTCCTGGCCCTCAAACATCATCACACCATCACTTTCGCTGCTCCTAACAATCCACGGCACGAGTATCCTTGGCGGAGTAACAGCAATCCTGTCGTCATCCTACAAATACAGACGTCGAAGATCTGAGATGGCGCTACCTGCTCAAAGACACCCAGTGAAAAACTAGCGGATCTGAGCCAGAACCCTAACTCGCAGCCTGGTGTCTTCCGAGCAAATGATGCATCGATTACAGTGGTCTGTATCATTCTATCCAGATGAGAAAGCTCAGCTCATTATGCTCTAATCACCTGAGATCATGAAAGGAAAGCTAGAAACTCCAAGGTGAGTTTTATTTACACACACATTCTGCTTTTAAGTGTCAACAACTTAATAAGCGCTATGAGTTCACCGATGAGCTATACTGAGCCATGAAATTCCTAAAAGTAAACCCCACCTTTGCTTTAAAGTTGAATATTTAGATTTGAGGTTTAATTACAATTCCAAATGGCACGAGGTTAGCATAAACCAGCTCATGGAAAACACCATCTCTGTCTAGCGCGACCATCAAGCCTGTCTCAGCAGCCGGCCGCGCCCGTTACCTCTGTGGACTCTGCTGGCTGACGATGGCGTTGGCCGCCTCCCTCAGGTACACCTCCCAGTCCGTCTCGGGGATGTCCTGGTCCGCAGTGAAAGGATACCTGCAGGGCAACAAGGGCGGGAGGTGGGGACCGGCGTGCCGCGCGCCTGGCCCCGGCGCCCGCCGCTCACTCACTGCTGCACGCGGCACGCCTCGCACATCAGGAGCGCCTTCCGGAGGTTGCGACGGGACTTCTCCGCCAGTCTGCGCGCCAGCTCCGCGGGAAGGGTCAGGCCTTCCTTCCTGCACACGGCGGACAGCACGTGGCAAATCTGCAGGAGAAACAACGAGCCAAAAGGGACGCTCTTCCCAAAAGCGCATCAGGTGAGACCAGTTCTGCTGCCAACATTCTTTACGGATCCCTTTAACTATTATTCCCCACATTTCTACCAGTGAAACTTAAAGGTACTTTGCTGTTGTTGGGTGCCGCCCAGCTGATTCCCGCTCATAGAGACCCCATGTGACAGAGCAGAACTGCCTCACAGGACTTCCTAGGCTGTCACCTTCACCAGGTCTTTCTCCTTCACAGCTGCTGGGTGGGTTCAAACCGGCAACGGTTAGGTTAGCAGCCGAATGCACGCCACGTGCGCTACCCAGACCTGAGACTCCTCCTACAGTCAATTACATCAGCTTGAGGTAGAAGACACTCCATACCTGGCCCTTAACTAGTCCAGGAGAGCTAATCATACCTATTTGTTTAAAGTAGAAGATGGTTTCAAAAAACAATGCTTTGTATATACTGGCTTATACGTGTGTGGGAGTCCCTGGGTGGTGCAGTGTTTAACGAGCCTGCGTGCTAACCAGAAGGTCGGCAGTTTGAATCCACCAGCTGCTCCTGGAAATCCTACGGGGCAGTTCTACTGTGTCCTATAGGGTCGCTATGAGTGAGAATCGACTCGACGGCCATAGGTTTGGCTTTCGTCTGGTGGCAGAAATGGCCAAGCACTAGGCTACTAAGTGAAAGGTTGGCAGTTCAAATCCACCTGGAGGTGCCTTGGAAAAAAGACTTGGCAATCTGCTTCCATAAAGACTGCGACCTCGAAAAACCTACGGGGCAGTTCTACTCTGCAACGCATGGGGCTCAGTCAACACAATGGCGACCGGCCACTGGCTGTCTACTGGTTTACCCATCCACCAACAGTCGGCCTCCGGGCCCACAGCTGTCCTTGAATGACTGCCATGTCCGCTGCATCTTTACAAAACAAACGTCACAGATTCTGAACAGAACGTTTCCTGACAAGCCTACTTGACTCACATCTTCAATGCTGGGCGCGGGCACACGGACCGCCAGGCACCTACTACGAATGGGTGCTATCACTTTGGAGGTGGAATTGCAGCACAAGATCAACCTGCAGGTGGACATGTACTTCTCCATGGTTCGGCGCAAGGCATGCTGAGCGTCTTTGGTGAGCTTGTCTACCTCTGTCAGCAAAACCACTGCAGCCAGAAACAAGAAAACAAACGTTCACTTGGGTATCTGTCTTCTGCCCCTCCTCGTCACAGTGAAATTTTGAATAAGCCTGGGCTACTATACGACTCTCTTCCCTTTGGTAACAGCAAATTAAAGTTAGAGGTATGGTTACAATAATTTATTTGTATTTCAAAATTTCTATCATCAAACAGGTCTAACAAGCATTATCCATGATCCGTTGCCGTCAAGTTGATTCCAACTCATATAGGACAGAGCAGAACTGCTTCATAGGGTGTCCAAGGCTGTCATCTTTATGGACAGGAGCTCTGGTAGCACAGTGGTTAAGAGCTCAGCTGCTAACCAAAAGGTCAGCAGTTCGAATCCACCAGCCGCTCCACGGGAGACAGACCTGGCAGTCTGCTTCCATAAAGATTACAGCCTAGGAAACCCTATGGGGCAGTTCTACTCTGTCACACAGGGGCACTATGAGTCGTAATCAACTCAATGGAAGCAGGTTTGGGTTTCTGGGTTGGACAATGAATATTCACCAGAAAGAGCTGCCTACAGAGCAGAGCAAAACTGTACACTACTATTTCAGAATGAGTTTTAAGCTTTTAAGAAAACGACACAAGCTATGAAGGAACAACAGAAATGAAGTGACAAGAAAAAAGGAGACTTGACAAGAGAGGTGACAGAATGCAGGAAATAATCAGAATTATAAGGAAAGAGCATTTTAGAAACACTCAAAACAAGGAAACACAAAAAGAACTAAATACAATGAACAGCCTCAGGATGAAAAGAAGGAAACTTTTTCAAAATTAAAAAAGACAAACGTGAGATAAAGTGATAGATATAAAATATAGACAAAGAAAATCCAACACGTGTATAACAAAAGACACTGAAGAAAACCAAAGCAATGGAACATAACACATCCTAAAACTCAAGAAAATTTTTTGAAATGGCAGAACTAGGGTCAAATATATTATAGATAGCCTCGTTCCCCTTATTGAAAGAAAGCACATTTCAGATGGGCTAACAAAGAAAAACCAATACTGTGCTACAAACAAGAGAAACACCTAAAACAAATAAATCGAGGAAGCTTAAAGATGAAATGAATGGGACAAAAAGATACGCCAGGCAACTGCAAATACAAATGAAGCAGGGACACAATCTTGTCAGCTGACAGCACAGTCCTGAGAAAGAGTCAGGACACCGTACAGAGCTCAGGGAGGCCGCTCCCACTGAAGACATGACAGACGTTGACGAGCAGGTGCCAGTAACACAGCAACTGCATTCATCCATCAAGAACTAGAGACGTATTAGAAGGGACTTCAGCAGACCTCTCTCAGTTCAAGACAGCTCAAAGTACTCTACAGGCATATAAATATAGAAAACCTAAACAGAATAAGCAGTAAGGTCAGTTTTATAAATATATATTAACTCTAAATCCTGGTAAGAGAATGTATCTTCTTTTTAAGTACACAAGAAATATTTACCAATTTGTACATATTTTAGACACAAAGAAAACCTCAAATTCCAAGGACAGACTACAAGCATCCTAACCATAATGCAATAAAACTACATATTAATTTTTTTAAAAATCGAAACAAGGATGTCTTTTCATTTGAAATATTTAAAACAATATATTAAGCAACTGTTGGATGAAAAGTGGAATACAAAATTAAATCACAGAATTTCTTGAAAATAACAACACTGAATACATGACAATCAGAGCTGTGACATTCAGTTAAAGCTGTTCTTGAAGGAAAAATTATAGCATTAAAATACTCATATCAATAAAAATGAAAACAAATGAGTTAAAGTGAACCAAAACAATACAGAAGGAATTAAAAATCAAAATCAAAAGTAGCTAATTAAAAAGCACAAAAAGAGTAGAACTAACATTCTAAAGGTGCTTCATTGGGGGGAAAAAAAAATCAACAAAATAAACTACTGACTAAAAAAAAAAAAAGGCAGAGAAGAAAACATAAACTCCCACAATAAGAAATGGTAAGATGGAAATAACCTCAACACCAGAAAATTTTAACAACTAAGCAAATTAAAAAAAAAAAAAGGAAACAGGTGATGTGGGCGATTTTAAACAAAAAGACAACTTAGAAAAATTAATTACAGGAAACAGTGAATGGTGGGCCCCACCACAAAGAGCAAGTCCAGATGGTTTCACAGGAATACTATCCAACTTTAACTATCAGATAATACCAATGCCACTTAAACTACCCCAGAGGACAGGGGAAAAGGAAATTCTCCAAATCTTTTTCACCAAGCAGGCTGAATATTGAATCCGAAAACCCGACAAGGACCCCACCTAACAAAAAGCACCGCAGACCAACTGCTGCAAAACTGACTCATGAGCTGCGGACAACAGCAGCACATTCAAATCTGAAGACATCACGACCAAGTGAGACTTATTCCGACTGTAAAGCAGCTTCAATCCAGTAATATCACATATCACATCACATCGTATTAACAGGGCTAAGAAGAAACACTGTTAAGATGCATCTGACAAAATGCTATACCCATTCCTATCAGACACATGGAATAGAAGAGGAATTGATGAATACTATCTTACCACGATAAAATACATATTCCAGCAATTAGCTTAATGGGGACACACTAAGGCTTTCCTTCCAGAGCCACGGCAGGGGTCCGCTGTCTCTACTAGTCAACACTGTGCTGGAGGGGCTGGCCAACACAGTCACACAAGACAAAGCACTGAGGGACACACAAATTGGCAAGGGAGAGGAAACACCATCTCTATTTACAGACGATATGCATACATACCTAAAAAACCCCCAAGAATCAATGGAGACTATTCACTTACAAACAGTAAGACAATAACACAGGATATAAAATCGTTGTTTGCTGCCGTCGAGTCAACTCCAGCTCATGGCGACCCCATGTGTGCAGAGAAAAACCGCTCCATAGGGTTTTCAAGGCTCTGACCGTTCGGAAGCACATCACCAGGCCTGTCTTCCGCAGCGCCTCTGGATGGGTTCGAACCACCAACCTTTCGGCTAATAGTCGAACACTTAACCAATTGCACCACCCAGGGACTCAATACACCAAAAAACCCCGCTGCCGTCAAGTCGATTCCAACTCATAGTGACCCTACAGGACAGAGAAGAACTGCCCCATGGGGTTTCCACGGAGTGGCTGGTGGATTTGAACTGCCAACCTTCTGGTTAGCAGCCGAGCTCTTACCACTGTGCTGCCAGGGACTCAACAGTTGTCATATATACAAAGAACAGTTAGAAATACATAAGAATATATACGTGGGAAAGGTCTATTTACCATAGCAAACGATACATACCTAAGTGTAAACTTCCTGTAATTTATAAAGAGGGAGGAGGAAAGCTAAGAGACAGGCTGGGAACATGCACGGCAAATAACAGAACAGCAACAATGGTCAATGAACAAAAGAGAAAATCACACCCACTAGAGAAAAACAAAACAAACTGACGAAGACCCCAGTCACCCACAGCGCTGACAGACGTAGGGAGAGAGGGGCGCTCCCAAACACTGTTGGTGGCGTAAACCTGCACCTTCCGGGTCAAGAATTGGGCAAACTGTATCGAAAGCATTAAAGGTGTCACATTTAACATCACAAAATACCACCTGTAAGAAAGTATGCACACATACGCATAAAAAGGGTACTGGGAGGTAAAAACCGAAACATCACCAGTAAATGTCTCTGGATGATGGGATTATGGCTGGTTTTAATTTTCTTTTTATCTAAATTTTTGATAATGAACGTATAACTTTGTTATAAGAACATATTTTAAAATCGTGTAATTTCTTCTTTTAAGTGGTGTTTTTCTCGTTATCTATCTAGTTCTAAAAGATCGAATGGGTGGCATGAATAGTCTTCTCTTTCCCCCCAGACTGCATTCTGCTGGACTACAAACTCCCAAGAGCACAGAGATGACACCTCTCTCTTCACTTCTGTACCCAGAAAGTAATGTCACAGGACGCCGGGCAGGGGGCTGAGAAACTTTGCTAAATGCCTGGAATTTACCTTTCCCGCTCCACTTTCTCTTACGCCCATCACTTGCCATGTGAGTGTCTGCCTGACGACAAATCGTCCTCGGACGTACCTTTGAAGTCTCTCTGAGAGCTTGTCTCGAGCTGCTGAGACTGCGCCACCGTTTTCAGCATCTCTTGAATCACCACCCGGTCACTGTTGCCAGCATCACTGCAGCGCACAGACAGTGTAAACGTCCCACACGCACACTCCAGGAGGCACTGTGCCCTCATCTTAGCCAGGGCTTGTGATAAAAGTGGCCAGGATCGTACGTGGTTAATGGTTTCATTAACACCTAATTATATTCACCAAACTTTAAAATAAGACATTTTAGTCATTAAACTACTAAACTATTCCAATACTCAATTACAATTTGATATCACTGAAAACACTAAATGTGCACTTCCATTAAGTTTACTGTCAACTTAAGAACAGCAATAACTAGTAACTAGTTAAGTAACTGTTTAGCAAATACTCTGGCACTTCTGCATGTACTGTGCAGAGTTAATGTCCAGTTCCCGCTGACTTCTCAGTTATCTATGATTACTCAAGATAAAAAATAAATAAATAAATAACTCTTCAAAACAGAAATTCAACTTCCATTGCCCTCCCTGAGCCTTAAGGTAGCCAAGGTCTGAGCAAGCCCAGAAGTCTGCTCCCAGCACTGGCACAGAGCTGATTCAAGGTCTCAGCAAGAGGATGGGAGAAGCAACCTGGGTTTGAGATGCCAAATCAGAACTCGGCAAGGCACCTACTTGCCCCACAGAAGCACTGAAGCCTTGCCCAGCAGTGCTCCAACACATCACTCCTACACCGTCTAGCACTTAGCTGCTGCTGCTGAGTTCTCCACGTGCCTCCCTGAGATCCTTACGTTGTTAGCTTATGATATATAATACAGACATAGGGTTACCGCTGCTATCAAACGGATTCCAACTCACAGTGACCCCATGTGACAGAGCAGAAATGCCCCACAGGGTTTCCAAGGCTGTCATCTTTATGGGAGCAGATTGCCAGGTCTTTCTCCAGTGGAGCAGCTGGTGGGTTTGAACCACTGACTTTTCAGTTAGCAGCCAAGCACTTAACCACTGCACCACCAGGACTCCTTAGACAGAGGGTGGTGGACTATTACAATAACCTCTAATCAAGAAATGGAAACAAAGAAGTATCAAAGAAAAGACCTGGTAACCGACACCCAATTTCTGAAATATTCACTCCGGACATTACACACTTTTTAGATACACTTTGTTCATCGGTTCCAAATGCGTCCACAAAATTTAACAAAAACTTACCAACTATACAATGTACTTTGTGTAAAACACTAAGCTCTGCACAGCAAGAAAATCTGAATATTATTTGACTCAGGGGTCTGAGAGAGACAAAATAAATAAGCGGGAAGGTTCTAGACCCCGCTTTCAACCAAAGCAGCTACGTTTTAATCTGTTTTATGTACTTGGGTTCCACACGTGATTCTGTTTTCACAAAGGGTTCTATTCTTTTTAAAAAAAAAAAGTCTGAAAACCATTATCTTAAAAATGCATATTTCAACATGGTAACAACTTACCTGGGATTAACTTCAAGGTGATAATTACTTGCAATGGTGCTGATTTCAATCTTCTTTTTAGATGGAGTCTAATAGAAAGAAAACAGCAGTATTTTTTAAGGCTTATTTATCTGCTATTTCCTCCTTTTTTGTATTTTCACTGGCTTTTCTTTTATTATGTAAACAATTCATGCTGACTAAAAAAATAAATAAAACTTGAAATAACAACCATTGGTTTTAACTTCATTAACATCGTTTTATTAATGTGCAGAAAAACATGTATAAGGAAGTTTATATAAGTTACATCATATCACATAAGCTGTTTTTGTGATTTTTTTTTCCCTTTTAATTATGTACAGAAATCCCCAAACCATTCCCAGTTATCAGCAGACACCACTGTAAACAATCTGAGTATATAATTTCACAGCCTTCTCCATGGTAACACGCACACACACATATATATAAAATACGTATTTATAGTGTTTCTTGTTAAAAAAAACAAGAGAGAGAGAAAATCATACACATTTCTGTTTCACTTTCCTACTTAACAAGACATCTTGGTAAAGGTACAGAAGATGAAGGTACACAGTACAATGGTTGCAGAGCACCGATGATGCATATTAATGCGTCCAAAGCCCGTCATGTTGTTTCTCGCTTCCTGCCACCTCAAACAATCCCCCAATTAACACAGGATGTCACAAGGACGTAGATATGGCTCAGGTACTGCCTTCATTTCTAAGTAAGAGATTCCAGTAAGGGATTTCCTCCACTGACAATAAAGCCCCATCGATTTACTTTTCCACCGGCAACATGCAAATTCCCTCCCCAACATTCCCCAGATGCAGTAGGTTTGGCTGTGCCCTTTCATTTCTGTGAACTGACGAGTACGTAACAGACTCACACGGCTTCTCCTTGACCACCACAAAGGTCACGTTCATGCACTTTACTGGCCATTTACATTTCTCTCCTGTGACTATTTATGGCTCAGTTCTCTACTGGGTTGTCTGTCCTGTTATCAATATATAAATTCTTTTCCCTGGCATGTTCTCTTCAGATAGTCTTTGACCAATCTTTCGGTTTTCTATATATTTTTATGTCATCTTTTGTCATACAAACTTCTGAAATTCATATATATCTCAGTATCTATTTCTTCTACAGCTTTTACACAATGTACTAAAAGGCCATCCATATGATCTAAGAAACCGTATTCTAGGAAAATTAATTATTTCATTTAAACACATGTTTTTATTTCACTTGGAACTTATATTTATAAATTATATATCATAGAGATTCAAGTTTATCTTCTTTGAGATAGGTAACTAGTTATGTCACCTATTTATCATTTATTAAATAAGTTTATCCTTTTCCACCGATTTGAAATTGACCCTTGGTCATTATTTCTAGGTCCTCATTCAGTTCCAGTGGTCTAATTCTCTATTCCCACACCAATACAGTATTGTTTCGAGCTGCAAATGGTTAAGTGCTCGGCTGTGTTGGCAGTTTGAATCCACCCAGTGGCTCCAAAGGAGAAAGACCTGGTGATCTGTCCCTGTAAAAATTACAGCCTAGAAAACCCTATGGGGCAGTACTACTCTGTCACATGGGGTCACTGTGAGTCAAACTGGACTTGACAGCATCTGACAACAAATGATCACACGCGGATTTGTGGCAGCACATGGCTACCGGCCAGCTCAATGAATTCCTGCCGCGCCTGCCTCTCTGTGGGACCCCTCCCCCTCGTCTGCCATTAACACTGGCTTCTGCAGGAGTGGTCTGCCCAGAGCGGGTCTCAATCAATATTTCTTGATTTGTTTAAACCTTGAATTTTTTAAAACCACATTCATGTGGGAAGAAGAGGTAGCATGAAGTGTATAGAAAAATTGTGAATTCCTAATACACCCTTATGGAGGGAGGCTGGATGGTATAATGCTTAAGCACTCAGTTGCTAACAGAAAGGTTGGCGGTTCGAATCCACTCCAGCAGCTCTGTGGGAGAAAGACCTGGAGACTGGCTCCCAAAAAGATTACAGCCAAGAAAACCCTATGGGGCAGTTCTACTCTACCACATGGGGTCACTATGAGTTGAAATCAACTCTATGGCCCCCAACAACAAACAACAATGCAAGTCCCACTTCTTCTTCATTATTCCTCTGGCAAGCATCAGAAAGGTACTCTTCCATAATGTACTTTAAAATAATTTTATACAATTAAAATACCCACTTGGATTGTAACTGGAATTTCACTGAAATATATACAGCAACTTGAGAACAGACATGACTAAATACTAAACCTTCCATCTGAGAACACTCTGCATCTGTCCCTTTGTTCAGCTCTTCTTTTTTGCCCTTATGGCTGCTAACCAAAAGGTCGGCAGTTCAAACCTGCCAGCCACTCCTGGGAAACTGTGGGGCAAATCTCATCAGTCCTATAGGGTTGCTGAGTCGGAACCGACTTAAGGGCAATGGGTTTGGTTTTGGGTTTCCTAAGATATGAGCCCTACTGGCACGTGGTTAAGCACTTGGCTGCTAACCGAAAGGTCGGCGGTTGGAACCCACCAGCCGCTATGCAGGAGGAAGATGTGGCAGTCCGCTCCCATAAAGATCACAACCATGGAAACCTTATAAGCAGTTCTCCTCCGTCCTACAGGGTCCTAGGAGTTGGAAGCGACTGGACGGCAATGGGTGTAAGATATGATAGTTACTTCCTACAGATGCCCCATCTTTCTTGTTAAATCTGTCCCTACTTAATTTAAAAGAATTTGCGCCAGGAGGTTACCATCAGCACCTCAAACTCAATGGGTACAAACACAAGCTAATGGACAGCAGTCTGAAACCCAGTCATCCTCCTGAAGACCTCCTCAGTAGCCCTACCATCCACTCAGTCAGCGCAGATTCTTCCAGGGCCAAGTGTGTACAAGACGCCAGACAGGGCTATGAAGGGTATGACAAGGAGTCTGACATGTTCTCTACAGAACTTCAAGATGAAAAGCTTCCTGTCAGAGAAGAACACGCACAAATATGAGCACAGCACAAGTAAGTACTATGAAAAGTGTGAAGGTGACGGGCTGAGAGGAGGAGACGCTGCAGCTGGACCCTAAACATCACCTGTAAGGAAAGAGCAGGAACATGCGCTGCACGGGATGAGGCCGGGAAAAGCTCAGGACAAGCTCAGGAGCCTCTCCCCATCTCGCACTGGCCCCTCCTCTGCCAGGCAGCCTAATCCTTCCCAGGTCAGTTTATTCCAAGGTTACAATTTCCCTCAAAAGCATTCCCTTTCTTTTCGTCCCCACTACCAGGCCCAGGACCATGGCCCTCAGAGACCTGATCTCCGTTCCAGCTCCGGTCCTGACTCACTAGCTGATCCAGAATGAGCCCACCCTCTACATTTCACCCCAGACCTCCTGATGTACGTGTCTCCTCGCCAACGTAACTGACTGTGGCTGTTGTTGCTGGGTGCTGTCAATTCCGACTCACAGTGACCCCACGTGACGCGGCAGAGCTGCCCCACGGGGTTTCCCAGGCTGTAATCTTTTTGGAAGCAGACTGCCACATTTTTCTCCCAAGGAACAGCTGGTGAGTTCAGACCACTGACCTTTCAGGTTAGCAGCCAAGCTTAGTCATTGCACCACCAGGGCTCCTTCTGGTTATAACAGTCGGGTCTGTAAATCAGCAGCTCTCACTCCTTGTGCACCAGGATTATCTGTGAATTCTTATTTAAATCCTACGCGGTGCAGAGATGGGGAGGGGGGTGGGTGGCATAACCAGGACTGGAAATCCTGGCTATCAACATTTGGAGAGCCTCCAGGTGAAACACTTACTGTGATGGTCTGATGTTCAATTCTCAGCTTCTCCACTCCAACGCCATACAGCTCACGCAGAATACACATTATTCTTGTCTTTTTCCCAGCGCCTGATGGTCCATAAACTAACAGGTGAGGAAAGTCACCGCACTGCACCTGGAGAAGAAAGAACATTCTTCCCTGTTGTTGCTGGGTGCCAGCGAATCGATTCCAACTCATAGCGACCCCGAGTGACAGAGCAGAACCGTCCCACAGGGTTTTCTAGATTGTCATCTTTATGGGAGCAGATCGCCAGGTCTGTTCTCCCCGAGAGCCGCTGGGTGGATTTGAACCACAGACCTTCAGGTTAGTAGCTGAGTATTTAACTGTCACCAGACTCCTTCAATACTACACGCCAGGAAGCAGAAACTCCCAAACCTGGCTGTCAGACTCTCCTGGAGCACGGTTTAAGACCCCATTCATGAGTTTACGATTCAGTAACTGAGGCTGATGCCTGTCTCAGTCTGAGCTCTGTCTCAGTCATCTAGTGCTGCTGTAACAGAAACTCTACAAGTGGATGACTTTAACAAACAGAAATTTATTTCCTCACAGTTTAGGAGGCTAGAAGACTGAATTCAGAGCGCTGGCTCTGGGGGAAAGCTTTCTGTCAGGTCTGGAAGAAGGTCCTTGTCTCTTCAGCTTTGCTTCCTGGTTCCCTGGAGATCTCCATGTGTCTTGGCATCTGTCTCGCCCCATCTCTCTCCCTCTCCTGGCTGGTTTAATCTCTTTTACATCTCAGAAGAGACTGACTCGAGATACACCCTACACTTATCCTGCCTTGTTAATGTAACAAAGACAATCCATTCGCAAATGGGATTATAACCACAGGTACAGGTGCTAGGATTTATAACACGTATTTTTGGGAGACACAATTCTATCCATAAAAGGCTCCTAGATACAGTCCCTGTGACAACAACTGAGTGCATCTGGTTTACCGGGGAGGTAAAGGAAAAACTTCCTTAGGGAAGTGGGGAGCAAAAAAGGCAAGGAAAGCAGCCAAGAAGAGTGTGCTATCAAGCAAGGTGCAGCTCTGAGCATCTGGGGCTCAATCCTGGGGGGCACTTCGGGAGCCAGCGTAAACACACACAGTGTTATCCCACCAAGGCTGGGAAGCTGGCATATGCTCAGCTCTCTCTCATCGGCCCTTTGTCGAGGTCTGCTTGGAGAGGGTTGGAGGAAAGGGTAGGGCGTTCATTTCCAGGCATTTCAAGTCAGCTTAGGGGTGTCAGCAGGAGAAAGCCCGCAGGCAGAGTATAGACTAGAAACTGGAAGTCAGTCTGTGTGCCCTTGGGAGTTCACAGCAGGGGGGCGGGGCAGGGCAGGGCAGGGCAGGGCAGGACTGGGTTTTTAAAAGCTTCTGGGTGGTTCTGATGATAAGGACGCAAGATGACCAGGAGGTAGACCTTAGTTACCTACCCTCGGGTGCGTGACATCTTGCAGGGGGAACGTTTTATAAATAAACCATTACAGGCAAAATGAAGTAAGTGCCTTAACAGAGGTGCATATGACAGCGAATTTTAATACAGTGAAACCTGTGAGCCAGAACTGCCTTGTTTTTCCAGGTCTCGCAAGTTTTCCGCCTCTGACAGGGCGCACTCATCACTTTTCTATCTCTCATTTTAGTGAAAAATAGTCGCGTTTTCCTTCTCGGACAGGTTTCTGCCTCCCAGAGGTCCTGGCTTTCGCAGGCTTTACTCTGTTTTGTACTCTCATCTATCTCTGGCGTGAAAGGCTCAAGGAACTATTCATCTAAGGTAACACTTGGGGAATGGCTGCTCTACAAACACCTGCTGCCTTTCCTTTTCACACTTCACTCTCTCATCGACAACAAGGTTCTACTTTAATTATGTGCCACTTTCATTAAGTTGTGGAGTCCACAGGAAATAGGTGAACATTTTTAAAAGCCAATTCATTCACAAGTAAGACCAGTATATTAAACTGTTGCCTACAATATATATTACAAATTCTACACAACCAAAAAAACAAAGGCCATAGAAAATAAAATAAAATGTATCATGTCTAGGAAAATCAAAGTCAAAGCTACTGTGACAAAATGCAACCTGTCTGTAGGTATGCAGTAGTAACCAATTTATCTTAAATTAGTATAGATGCAACAGCAAGAATTAAAGAAGAGGAAAAAAAAAAAAAACTTTCAGTCTCAAAATGCCATGACCTTTTCTAATGACTTTCATGTATAAGGCTTAAGGCTGAAGTTCCTCTTTAATGATTTCTCATTTTTAGCCCTGGCGGCACAGTGGTTAAGAGCTCGGCTGCTAACCAAAAGGTCAGCAGTTCAAATCCACCAGCAGCTCCTTGGAAACCCTATGGGGCAGTTCTACTGTGTCCTGTAGGGTCTCTAGGAGTTGGGATTAACTCCACAGGATAGAAGGCTTTGTCTGCTTTGCCCAGGTTTAACTCCAGCAGCAGGTTCTCAATAAGTGCTTGATGAATGAACAAAGTGCCTTTTGTCAAGTCAAAAACGGTCAGTGAAAAAGCCAAAACAAGACTCCACGTTTCTGTTTCCCAATCCTGCAGGAGAAAATTATGAATACCTGTGCAAATTTTTACATAAAGTGAGATAAACACTGTTTTTGAAAAAACACATCTCAAATGAAGGTATAAATCTGCTATTACGGCTCAAATCTTGTTAGAACTGATTTCCTCCCTACCAATTCTTCAAGTGTACAAGGTGGATTGAATTTCTGGAAAGCACTAAGTCGGGTGGGCCCAAGCAGCCTGAACACTGTGGGTGATGGAGCAGGACACTATTTACAGAGCAGAGAGAACACTGGCTCTGAAGTCACGTGTCCAGATTCCAGTACTGACTCCAGTCATTTATTTACCAGCGCTATGATCTTGGGCAAGTGACTTAACCTCGTAAAACTCAGTCTCCTTCCAAGAAGCCGGGATGATATGCCCCTCACAGAATCCTGAGGAAGAAATAAAAAAAAAAAAAGAGCCCTGGCGGTGCAGCGGTTGCACACTCAGCTTCTAACCCAAAGCTGGGGGGTTCAAACGCACCAGCCACTTAGCCACTTAGCCGGAGAGAAAGACGTGACCATCCGCTTCCATAAAGCTCACCACCTTGGAGACCCTGTGGGACAGTCCTACTCCGTCCTACAGTCACTACCAGTCGCAATCGACTGGACGGCAATGGGTAAAAAAAAAATAATCCACACGAAGCGCTCAGCATAATCATTGTCCCCCAAAATTCCTAGTTCATGCACCTACAGCTCTGAGATTTTCTCATACACTGACAACGCCAAGACAAAAGTTCCAAATAAGTGGGGGATGAAAAAGGAGCCCAGGGGACGCACTGGTTAAACGCTCGGCTGCCAATCAAAAGGTCTGCAGTCGGAACTCGCCAACTGCTCCGCGGAAGAAAGGTGTGGCAGTATGCTCCCCTAAAGACGACAGCTTTGGAAACCCTATGGGACAGTTCTACTCTGTCCTACAGGGTCGCATGAGTCGGTAACGACTCGACGGCAGTGAGTTTGGTTTGGTTTTGGAATAATGGCGTTTCCCCCAAACACATCCACTGATCAGAACAGAAGAGGAAAACCTGCTCAAGGCTACAGCAGGAGAGGTTCTGGAGGGGAGACTGCAGCCCAGTGGTGTTCCCGCCAGCTCGCCGCCCTTCCTGAGACCTGTGTGCCTCACTTTCCCCAACCTGCAAACGGGCCGCTGTGCTTACATAACGGCAGAACGGGTTGCTCCGGTGCAGAGCACAGACGCGGGCGGGCGGGGCCGGGGGCGAGAACCCGGCGGACAACAGGCAGGTCGGGCCCAGACCCCGCGGGCCCCGACCACACGCCCCAGGGCGCGAACCCCGGCCCCCCACGCCCCTCGCTCCGGGAAGGCGGCCTCCAGCCGGCTCACCAGGTTGCGTAGCTGGGCCGCCTGCTCCTTGTGATAGTCCAGCCGTCCCAAGGAACAGGGCCGGTACTTGTCCACCCAGAGGCTCATGGCAGCCGGCTGCCGGGTCCCACGCTCGAAAGGCCCGCGCGCGCGGCTCCAAACCGGAAGCGAAGGCGCATTTTCCCGCGAGTCCCGCCCCCGTGACGTCACTACCGGCTACAAGGGCGCATGTTAGCGCGGAAGAGGAACGGAAGCCGAAGAAGGGCAGAGTTAGCCGCGCGTTGGGGCCATCGAGCCCGTGTTCCCTTGTGTTCAGTGGTCTCTTTCTTTGTTCTCAGTTGTTAATATGTTCTAGGACGTCTTAAACAGAATCGAGAATTTGGCGCTGCTCCTCTGAGCGTCACATCGAGTACCTGACAGACGCTACTTTCCTCAAGTCATTTTGTGCATTCCTTTATTCATTGACTCATTCATTCCACCGAAACCTATCTACATCTACTATGTTTCAAGCTCCGTTTTTTTTTTGTTTGTTTTTTCACACTAGACTAAGTCCAGATTGGGGCTTCTCTTCTCACTTGGCAAGCGCCCAATAAAGCTTTAATGAATAAATTGGTAAAAAGAAAAGAAAAAGAAAAATCTGATTTTCACTATCCTTCCTTACCTCCATCCATCAAGATTCTTCCTGGGATGCGTTAAAACAAAATAATAGTAATATAATACGAGAAATGGATCGAAGTTTATTTAATATATGACTTGCAGATTAGGATAACATTTCGACTATACATACATATCTGTTGCCATCAAGTTGATTCCGACTCATAGTGACCCTATAGGACAGAGTAGAATTGCCCCACAGGGTTTCCAAGACTGTAATCTTTACAGATCAGTGTCCATGGAAGCAGCAGTCAAGAAATCAAACATATTGCATTGGGCAAATCTGCTGCAAAAGACCTCTTTGAAGTGTTAAAAAGCAAAGACATAATTTTGAGGACTACAGTGCACCTGACCCAAGCCATAGTATTTTCAATCGCCTCATACGCGTGTGAAAGCTGGACAATGAATAAGGAAGACCAAAGCAGAATTGATGCCTTTCAATTATGATGTTGTCAAAGAATATTGAATATACTACTGACTGCCGGAAGAATGGACAAATCTGTTTTCAAAGACAGTCAGAATGCTCCTTAGAAGCAAGGATGCCGAAACTTTGTGTCTCATACTTTGAACTTGTTATCAGGAGGTACCAGTCCCTGGACAAGGACATCATGCCTGGTAAATTGGAGAGTCAGCAGGAGAGAGGAAGACCCTCAGCACCCTCAATGAGATGGATTGACACAGTGGCTGCAACAATGAACTCAAGCATAACAACGATTGTGAGGATAGTGTAGGACCAGGCAGTATTTCGTTCAGTTGTACATAGGGTCACTATAAGTCAAAACCAACTTGACGGCACCTAACAACAACAACTAAATGACTGAATTCTACTAGCGGAGTCAATTGTGCTCTAATTTTGTGTTGTAATATGAAGATTCTTTTCCTTCTAATTGTGTGTGTGTTGTTTTTTCTTACGGTAAATCTATTTATTGCATTGCAATGAGAAGAAGAGTACTGTTGCAATGATGAATTACTCAATGAAAGCCCAGTACAGTGGTGGTGTCCGACAACGTAGGTTCCTCTGGTGATCAGACCTAAGGATCCTGGAGAGACTGCTTGGATCGTTGACTCTGAGAAGTGTCTCAGGATGGCCATGTTGGTAGGGACAGTGGAAATATGGACACCATAAATCAGAGGGCATGAAGGACCTACCTCCATGTTAGGAACTGAATTGTGTCCGCCAAAAAGATATGTTGAAGTCCTAACCCCTGAAGTGGTGAATGTGACCTTGTTTGGGGAAATATGCTCTTTCTTTGCAGATGTTTTCAATTAAATTAATGAAGTCATACAGGTAGGCTGGGTCCTAGTCCTAATCCTTTCTGAGTGGTGTTTTATAGAAGAGAAGGACAGACAAGGAAGCAGAGTCCCACACGGGGGGAGAAGCCATGTGAAGATCAATCTACAAGCCAATGAATACCAAGGAAGGCCCAGTGCTACCAGAAGCACTTGTGGCACAATGGTTAAGCCTTCGGCTGATAACCAAAATGTTGGTGGTTTGAACCCAACCAGTGGCGCCATGGAAGAAAGGCCTGGAGATCTGCTTCTGTAAAGGTTACGGCCAAGAAAACCCTATGGAGCAGTTCTACTTTGTAATACATGGGGTCGCCATGAGTTGGAATTGACTCAACAGCAGTGGGTTTGGTTTTTGGTTTTATGTGTAGCTTGCCTTTCGAGTCTTTTAATGGTGTCTTTTGATGAAAACTTGTTAAAAAAAAAATCCGTTGCCGTCAATTTGATTCCAACTATAGTGACCCTATAGGACAGGATAGAAATTCATAGGGTTTCCAAGTAGCAATTGGTGGACTCAAACTGTCAACCTTTTGGTTAGCAGCCTAGCTCTTAACCACCGTGTTATTGTTGTTAGGTGCCATCAAGTCAGTTCCGACTCATAGCGACCCCATGTACAATAGAACAAAACACTGCCTGGTCCTGCGCCATCCTCACAATCGTTACTGCGTTTGAAGTCATTATCGCAGCCACTGTGTCAATCCATCTCGTTGAGGGTCTTCCTCTTTTCCTCTGACCCTCTACCTTACCAAGGATAATGTCCTTCTCCAGGGACTGGTCCCCCCGACAACATGTCCAAAATATGTGAGATGAAGTCTCGCCATCCTTGCTTCTAATGAGCACTCTGGCTGTACTTCTTCCGAGACAGATTTGTTCCTTCTTCGGGCAGCCCATGGTATATTCAATATTCTTCGCCAACACCGTAATTCAAAGGCATCAATTCTTCTTTGGTCTTCCTTATTCACTGTCTAGCTTTCAGATGCATATGAGGTAATTGAAAATACCATGGCTTGGGTCAGGCGCACCTTAGTCCTTAAAGTGACATTTTTGCTTTTTAACACTTTAAAGAGGTCTTTTGCAGCAGATTTGCCCAACGCAAACCACTCCTCTAACGTAGTCTAATTTAAAAAACCCTTGCCTGCGCCAGAGGCAGGAAGACAGTCTCCTGATTTGTTTTGCTGCTTAGTTCTATTGTCACATTTAGATTTTAAATCCATTGGAAATGATTCTTTGTATCGTGTGTGGCATGAGGATCAAGATACATGTTTTTTCCCATGTGGATGTGTCGTTAGGCCAGCACTAATTTTTGAAAAAGGAGTCTTGGTGGCACAGTGGTTAAGTGCTCAGCTGCTAACTCAAAGATTGGCGGGTCAAACTCACCAGCCATTATGCAGGAGAAAGTCCTAGTGATCTGCACCCACCTAGAAAACCCTGTGGGTCACTTCTACTTTGTCACATGGGGTCGTTGTGAGTTAGAATAGACTCAACGACACCCAACAACAACAACATTTATTGAAAAGACCTTCCTTTCTCCACGGCACCCCATGGTCGGCTTGTAATAAATCAGATGAGGTTATATTTGTTTCTGAACTCCCTATTCCGTTCCATGAGTCTATTATGCTCTCTGTGCACTGATGCCACACTACCTTGATTACTATAGCTTTATAATATAGCCTTGTAACAGGTCTTCGTGTCTGGTAGCTTGAGTCCTTTTCTCCTTCTTATTCAGTATTCCCTTCACCAGTCTTTACTCTCTGCATTTCCATATACATGTTAGAATCACCCTGTCCATTTCACAAAAATCTTGCTGTGATTCCATTTGGGATCACTAGTTACAGTTATTAAAGTCTATATTTAAACCCTGTGGATTTCACCCTGTTGACCTTAGAAATCATAAAATATAAATTGTTCCACTTGAGCACATTAAAAATCTGTCATGCGTTTTACTTAAGCTTTTATATACGCAGCTAGGAAACACTTTTTTCTGCATGATTTAACTGTGATATATATTTAACTCATCTTCAATTGCCCTTGCTACCTTCTGGCAAGGTAATACGTTAGAACTATGAAAATAGTCGCACACAGATGTTCAAAAGGAGAATTTATTTTAAGGGAAATGGCAAACTACTTACAATTTTAAAAACACAAAATTTGATTAAATGTCCAGGATTGAAAAGGAAGGAGGGCTTTACTACCTTGGGGTTCTGTAAGTCTCGCGTCTGGTATTACTATCGTCTGCTTCTGTAAGGATTGTTGCTGATTGCTGTCTTAGTCCGGGCTCTCTAGAGGAGCAACGCCAAGGAAACATATACATCCGGAGAGAAATTTACTTCAAGAAAATGTCTCATGCGATTGTGGGAGCAGGCAAGTCCCAAATCCGTGGGTCAGGCAGCAGGTGGGGACTTTGGCAGGCTCACATCCCAGGAACCGGAGGGTAGGTGGCAAGAAGAGGGCAGGGTTGAGACAGCGTGAGCTTCGCCAGAACACGCATTTATGTCCTGGAGGCAGGCACATCCCCGGGGAAATATCCCTTTCAACTGATTGGCTGACCACATCATGAACGGTGATTACATCGTATCACATTATGGAAGCTCGCCCAGCCCAGTGTCTGCCACACCGCTGAGAATGACAGCCTAGCTAAGATGACACATAACATTGACCATCATAGCTGCCATCGAGTGGATTCCTACTCATGGTAACTCCGTGTGTTACAGAGTAGAACTGCTCCCATAGGGTTTTCTTGGCTGTTATCGTAATGAAACAGATTTCCAGGCCTATCTTCTATGGTACTGCTAGGTGGGTTCGAACCGCCAAGCTTTAAGTCAATAGTAAAGTGCAAACCATTTGCGTTACCCAGAGCCAAGAAAACCCTACGGAGCAGTCCTACTCTGCAAGACACGGAGTTGCCACGAGTCGGAATCAACGTGACAGCAACGGGTCTGTCTTTATGTTTTAAAAACAATCAGTTTGTGGCTTCTGAGAGACAGAACTTGAGAATGAGCGATCCCAGATTATAGCAATGCAAAGGAATTCCAAGAGCAACGGTGAAGGGACTGTCCCAGGCAGCAGTGATGGAGCAAGCTGGAGCTGGGGCGTGAGGACCCCAGGAGGATTGTCTCCAAGAAGATGAATTTAACCCTGACGTTTCGCACATGCTGAGGGGAAGCTGACACTTA